TCTAATTAACCTCAATCGTATTTTTAATACAAGCCGACAAAACTATCTTGGTTATCTATGAAGACTACTACCATTCTCTTGCCTGTTTCTTTTAATTTATTTATTTTTATATGTCATATGTGTGTACGGTGTGTGTGTGCACGTTTGTGTTTGTATTAATTACTGGTACAAACTCCCTTAGGATCTTCGTATCAACCAGGATGTCCTGTGCGGTTGAAATTATGTGGTTTGTTCGCGTGTGAAATCATTTAACTGGTGCAATCAGTCACTCTAATACCTAATTTTAATTAATAATTTTGTTTGATTGTCTTTTCCGGATCTACCATAAGGTTATTTTTATTTGCTTTTTACATTTCATTTTCTTTTTCTTCTTTATTAATTATTTAAATCATTATAATAATTGTATATAAAAGACTATTGTTAATTATTTGTATTTAATGTTTACATTTGTTGGTAATCATATAATAACGTTTTTATTATTGTGGTAACATTAAAAATTAATTTTCTAATTAATTTACTTGACAACGAAATATAATTGTTATTTAATAAAGAAGAGATTAGACAAACTAGTTTAGGGTAATATATTCTCACGAAATAAATGAGTTCAACTTGAAACTTGATAATCCCTTTAAAGTGATAATATTGTAACGTGGTTTCTAATCGCACTTAGAAACTCTCGAGGTTCTATCATCCAGGATAATATGAAGTACTTGTAGTTCTTTCTCTCTCTCTTTCTCTTTTGGGGTGAATGTGTGTTTCGAGTACTTGTAACGTCCCACAGGAGTCAAAGACCTTAAGTTTAGGTACTCTTATTTTCAAGTTTTCCCAAATATTTTCATTAAGTCAGATCAAAGGATGTTCCTTTTGATTCTCATCGGATGTATTGTGTTGTGTACCCTTACAAAAGGGTTCACAAAATCTTGTTTGTTCTGTAGATTTCGAAGTCATCGACTGAATTTCTTTTTACAAGGACTATACCAATATTTTTATTGGCGTTTGTGTATTCGTGTATTATGAGGTATACGAATATATGAGTGCGAATGTGTGTCTCAAGGTGCTTCTATAAACGTATAAAATTTTTCTTTTATTAATACACGAATATACCATGAATTTTCAGCAAGATTTAATAAGTAATTTTTGCTGACGTGATAATACATTAACATGAGTTGTAAGTTCAAAAGAATCATTATAATAATAAGTGAATTAAATTAAAAAAAAAGGTAATATTTTTTAATAAGTTTGAAAAGAAAAAATCGAAATGTGTGCTGGGAAAAAATATTTTAACAAAATTGTGTTTATACAGTTTAAGCATTTATACTACCTTAAATAAATATAATTATAATTATTGTTACAATTTACAGGTACGTGTTTATAAATATTGCATATGATTGTAACATGTATTATAAAAAACAAAATTTGATTAATATAACAATCATAAATGTGTCCAATTTAAGAAGAAAAAATTTAGAATTAAATAATTTCAATGTGAATTATATCATTTTCTTTTTTCTTTACAATAAATGTATAAACAACCTCGTGATCAATAAAAATGTTTGGTTAAATTTTTAACAGATATAACTTGGGGATAAAATTTGAAAAACATTTAGGGAATTTATTGAATAACATTTACTATTAGTTTTACATTTTTTTCTTTTTATTTTATTTTTTTCTTTAGTTCTTGGTTCGTTATCAGAAAAGAACAAAGCTCCAGTATCGTTTGGTGGAATAGTTGGTCGTCGTCTCTCTATTTGTCGTAAAGCGCTCGTTATATCTCGATTTATGTTTATCGAGAAAGAACGAACTCACGTCGTTATACGATACTTCTTTAGATTGCTATATATATATATAAGTTGTATCGATATAGTAAGTATACTCTAGCCCGTTGTGTCTCCGTGTCTACCAGCCCTATTCGTAGGATCACCGTTTTCTTTTACGACTTTTACACTCACTCGACAATAAGCTCGAACGGGGCTCTCTTTGTGTTTGCTACCTCGATTAGAATTCTATCTTTAACATTTTGCTATATTTCTTTTTATTTCTTTTTCCCTTTTTTTTCTTCTATTTTTTATTTTTTTATTTTTTTTTTACTTTTTTTTTAATGCCCTACTTTAACTTCAATTTTCTTCAACAACAAAATACTGTATTTTTTTGTTTTGTTATTATTTCTTTTCCTTTGAAATGTTTGGACATAAATGAGTCATTCAAAATAATATAATTTTTGCGTTAAAACTTTTTTAAATTAGATAAAAAGATTTATCTAATATAATATTTAAACTACAGATGTATACCTGTATATGTTATTTTATCAATGATTTTATTTATTATTTTTTTTTTTAATAATTAAATATAGTAGACGAACTTGTATATAATTTACAGGAGATTAAAATTCACGCAAAATGTTTAAACTATTCGATAATTTTAAATTATTCATTTAAAAGACGAAGATAATAATGAAGAAAGTATATACTTTTAAAGACGTGACTTTCATGAATGAACCATACTTTCACAGTTTTCTTTTCTTTCCTTTTCTCTTCTTTCTAATTTTTATTTTGTATAAATATTATTATAGATACACCTGCAATGTACTTAGCCTTTGATATTCACACAGAGCTTACATTGTTTGCAGAGGACTTGTCATAGTGTAATTCTTTGGTCTGTTACCGCAAGTTCGTTTTTAGAAAAAGAAACTCGAATAAAACTTTTATATATGTCTCTTCTTGTGTGTATATATTTGTTTAGAGATAATCGATGAAACTCTTTCTCTCTTTCTTTTTATCTCTCCTTTTCTCTTTCCCTCTTTCTTTTCCCGTCTTTTTATTTCTTTCTTTCTTATGAATATCTTTCGAATCGTAGATAAGATTTGTTTATTAAAAGGGTCCTACGATATTTTCATATTTGTATCTGATGATGTTGTTATCTTTTTAAATAGAAATGTGTAAAATGATACGTAAATATTGTTGGAGAGAGAGGGAGTATCTAATTTTTCTTTTTCTCTTTTTCTCTCTTCAAATAATGAAACATAGTTTTTTTCTTTCTTCATCTGAACAGAATCGAAATTCAATGTATGCGTTGTTGTCTATCGATTCCAATTAATTCTATTACTAATATTTAATTACTTCACAAAGTATAATTTATTTCGTAATATAAATAATATCATTTAAATTTAGTTCTGAATAAGATGATTGAAAAGAATATAGAACTATATTATAGGCTACGTTTTTAAATTCCAATCTTATCACCTTAAACATATAATCGTTTCGAGTTGCAAACGTACGATCTTTTATGTACAGCTGGTATGATCGGTGAACAAGAGATAGAAAGATAAATAGATAAATCTTATCCATTTATTATTTTTTTCTATACTTCATTTTGATATATATTATCTGTTAGAATAAAAAAAGAACATGTAATATTAGAAAAAAAAAATAGAAGAAAATTTGGTACTTACTTATTAACGCCACCGCAGCAAAATTCCGCTAATGCGCAAATCTAAACCTTAAAATGTTGCGACAAATCATAGAAAAAAAACTTTATTTTAAATCAAAACACTTTCAAAATTCAAAACATTTTATTTATAAAAAGTAGTCCATCGGATTTAGGTGGAAAATGGGCCGATATAGAATTTAACATAGATTCAAAACAGTCTCTATTTTCTTTCACCTGATGCTATCACCATAACCCTGACGAAACCCTGACGAAACCCTGACGAAACCCTGACGAAACCCTGATGAAACCCAGACACAACCCTGACGGTTGCTGTGTGCAAACAACAAGGTTGTTGTGTGCGAACAACAAGATTGCTCTTTATTGGCGCATTAGCGGAATTTTTGCTGCGGTGGCGTTAATACGTAAATACCGAAAATTTAATAGATTTGGAAAGGTGTTTTTTTATTTATTTTTTTTTCTTAAATTTTATTTAGGTAAATATAAATGAAATATATAAAAAAAATTGAATTTAATAATTAGATAAATTTCTTCAAGTACGGAAAATTTTAAATTTCGATAATGATTTTTTTCTAAATGTAATTTAAAATAAAATACTCATTAAAATAAAAAACAAATAAAATCAAATGTTTCTGCATATGCAAGAATTCTTATTAAAACTAATACACGTGTTATTAACAAAAAAACATTAAATTTCATTCAGAAATTAGAATCAAAACATTCTTATTAATGAATACAATTCGAAATAAGATTTCCGCTTTAGAGAAAGATCGATCAATCGATAGATTTATCGCACATTGAAAATATCCCTAATACGTTTTCGTGTGTGCCATCAAAATCCAAGGATGCAAATCGATCCGATAAATTGAATTTTCTCGTTTCATAGAAAAGTGTTAGGGGCGAAAAAATAGGGGTGGTGGATAGTGGAAAGGGTTAACACCTTGATAAATTCAGTTGGAAAAATAATTCTTGACCTACCTTACACCCTTTTTTCCCTTCTTCTTCTTCTTCTTCTTCTTAGAAAAAGAAATGAAAATAACAACGTAAAATATTTCAACGTGTAGATCGAATTTAAATACATTGTATCATAATTAAACTATAATAATATTTATATTAAATAATACGATACACGCGTAAACGCTCGCTCATACACATGCATATACACATACTCACGCAATATACCAAAAATTTAATTCATTACATATATATTCCAAATTTAAAACAATAATATTTGTATTAAATCAAAAAACGATACGTGGAATATTATACACAACAAAATATTATTTTACATTGATCAAGAATATTCAAGATAATATAATCATCTAATTCCAAATCAAAATATATATTTTTTATTCCAAGTTTATATTTCCAACGTGTTTTGAATATTTTTGTTCCAGGAAGCAGCGACGAAGGCGATTCGGGGTCAGGAACGATAACTGGAAGTGCCCCAGAAGGAGGAGGAGGTGGTGGAGGAGGAGGAGAAGGTGGGGTTGGTGGTGGTGGTGGTGGCGGTGGTGGAGGAGGAGGTGAAGCGGGAGCAGGATTAGAGAGTAATAACGAAATGGAGAAAAATAGTAACAGCAATAACAACAACAATACTAATAATAATAATAATAGTAGTGGAAGTAGTAACAATTCAAGCAACGGAAACCCTACTTACAGAGATTTCAAATCTCTTCAAATGTCTAATGTGATACAGGATATACCAATAGATTACAATACTTCGCAAAATAGGAACTATCAACATCATCATCATCAACAACAACAACAACAACAGCAGCAGCAGCAACAACAACAGCAGCAACAACAACAACAGGGTGAGTATTTCCCAGCGATGGAAATACAACAGAATTATGAAAATTATAAGAAGGAACAACAGAGGCCACCATCTGTCAGAGATGATGATAGAAGAATGTCTTGGGATTATCTTGACAAACAAAACGATCAACAGAGAGATTACTCGAGAACGAGAAACGAGTATCGTGAGTAGTTTGAAGACAATATTTTTTAAAAAATTCGTTTTATTATCTTTATTGTTAATTTATTTTTTTTTTTTATTTTCTGTATCATCAAAGATATCAAATATTTGCGTAACAATAGGACAAATCTTTATATTTTTATGATTTTAATAAGTATGGTGATAGATTGGGAGGAAAATAATAAAATATTAAATACGCGCGTGTTTATGTGTGTGTATGTGTGTGTGTGACGTAAGTTATTTTTGTATGTTTTGGTTAACGTAGAGGAGACGATAAAGCAAGAGCCAAAGGACCAATTGAGTCAAGAGTGGGTGTCACTCGTACCGGAAGTCGAAGTTGGTGGTTCAGCTCCTGGTGGGCCTCAAGTTCGAGCACGGAAAGATATACCAAGGGGTACCAGATTTGGTCCTTTTTCCTGCAAGTGGGTGAGCGAGCCTTTCAATCCACGTTACGCATGGGAGGTGAGTTATATTTCCATCTCCCTCCCTCCCCCACATTTTCTCTCTTTCCCTCTATCTCTCTTTTTCCCCTACATTTTCTTTTTTTTCTATTTCTATCCTTTTCGCACTATATGAACGTATACTTTCTATATATACATATTTATTTATGGGAGCGTGTGAGTGTGTGTTACATGTATCGTTTACGTGTTTATCGCATCGATAGTGTACCTTTTGGAAATACGGCAAGGGAAATGATCGTAATTCTATTCACAATCAGTTAACTCCAGAGACCATTGATAACGTTAAAAATCTTATTTTCCTTCTTTTAATTATTTTTTATTTTCTTCTTCTTTTTCTATACCCCTTTCCCACCCCCATCTTCTCCACCTTTTCTATTTATTACAATAATTTTATTTATCAATTCAGACTGATAGAATTTATTTTTCATTATCTTTTGAGAGATTGAGAATATTAATAAAAGATTAAGTTATTTAGTTTAATCTAATCAAATAAATCGTTTAAAATTGAACGATGAAAATGTTGTTCTTTTTTTTTCTTCGTATTCGAAACCGTTTGAAAGATGATCGATCTGTTTATAGTTCAGGGTCGTTCGAGAAATACTCTTCTTCTTGCTCTTAGGTAGTAGTATCCTAAACCCGAACGTCATTGGGTTTCTTCTATCCTACTGCCATAATCCCTCGTATTATCCCGGCAGATGCCAAAGAAGACTACTATGACACTACTACGACGACTATGGTATGCTACTGCTGCTGTTGTTGTTAATGTTACTGATGCTATACTGATTGGTGGTGATGGTAGTGGTGGTGATGCTTTGATGTTGGTGTTAGTGTTGGTGTTGGTGGTGGACGGTAGATGGAAAAAGAGAAAAGATAGAATTTTAGAGGATAGAGATATAGCTTAGAGAAAAAGGGAATAGGACTGAGAAACAGACAGACGGACAGACAAACAGACAAACGTACTACAGTCGTCTTCTCGATAGTTCGACAGCAACCACCTGGACAAATCGGTTCTCTTCGAACGGTGGTGTCATCCATGACGTTGACAGATCTGTCAATTTTCTTTTTACACTCTCTCTCTATCTCTTTCTCTCACACCTATTCATACAATCGTGTAAAACTTTTCTCAACTTGACTAACGTCTAAATCGGAATATCTTTTACCTTTTTTTAAAGCTAATTTTGTTCTGTTTTCTTCTTCCTTTTTTTCTTTTTTACGGAAAAAGGAAGATGATACAATTATTATAGAAATTATTTGATTATCGTTTTTCTTTTTTTCTTATATATTTTTTTTTTTTATAAGAATTTATGTAGTTTTGGATATCCATATGATTTTTTTTTTTATTTCAGAATAAAAATGATTCATCTTTTGTTCCTTTAGAATTATCATTAAATGTTCATTATTTTTATTTTATTATTTTATTATTTTCTATTTTTTTTATATATATATTTTCTTGGATATTTCATAAAAAATATAGATTTATAAATTTTATAAATCTCAATATTAAACGTAATCCTATAAATATGATACTATGTTAATGGAAATTTAAACTATTTAAACTTATCTAAAATTTTCTTTATGACATATTACTCGTCAGTATTATTAAATTGAAAATACTTTGTATCTTTAATTATTTGAATTATTTTTTCACAAAACATTTCCCCAAATTCCATATATATACTCTTGTTAACACATACCAAATATGTCTGTGAAATTTGGGTTTATTCTTATACATTAATATTTCGGACATAATCCAAGCAAATCGTGTGAATCTCGACATTCTCCAATTTCAGTTGTTCACGGTAACATATATATAAAAAGAGAGTGGAGGTGGTCATTGCACGATCTACCAATATCAAAATATGGATGGGGGGGGGGGGCTAGTTTTGGAAACGGTTAGGAAAGGGAAGGGGTGTGATAGATATGATAGCAGCAGCACGAGTTAGCGCATGTCGCACTGACAAAATGTAAATGGCTTCATCCATCTAACTGCCGACAAAAAGGCAGTCGGGGCCAACTGTCGGACCGGCGATTACAGGATCGATTAAAGCCAAACTACCCCTTCGTTTCGTCGACCCGATCTATCAACCCCTTCCCCCTCACCTTTCCAACAACCTCCCATCCTTCTATCCCTCCCCCGCCCGTTTTGGACCCCCGTTTGTAGAAAGCCACCCATTTCACCACCCATTTCGTTCCTACGTTCAACGATGATAGTTCAAATTCAAAGATTTCTTTTTACCCCATCCTCCCTCACCCTTCTCACCCCCAACACCGATATAAATATTTTCCATAGTATTATTTTTCAAAAATAAAATCGTTAAATGTATTTCGTAGATTTTGTACAATAAAGAAGTGTTGTATTTTTGTAAAATAATTCGAGCAAATTTGTACGAAGAAAAAGAAGAAAAGGAATAATGAAAAGGGATACTTTTCATATATTTTGGTTTGGTTAAAAAAAAAAAAAAATAGAGGAAAGGGATTGTTTGTAGGGATTATAACGAGATTATAATGTCTCGAGTTACATCGGAAAAACTTGGCAACCCGATCAATTTTCTTCTTCTTTTTCTTCTTCCACTTCTTTATTATATTTACTTTTCGTTTATTTTCACCATAACCAATTTCGATCGATTCACACTCCGCGCATTCCTTCCTTCCTTACTTCCTTCCTACTCCCCTTTCGGTGTCCTAATCCTTTTCTCACAAATCTTTAGAAAAATCTTACGAAAGTTTGTCGGTATTATCGTGGCGTATCTGTTTGTAGGGAAAAGAGGAGAAAAAAAGGGGGAGAAAAGAGGAGTAGGGTTCAAAGAGAGACCGATATTTTTTTGCAAAGATTTACTCTATAAAAATAAATATTTATTAATAATATAAAGGATCTATTTGTAAGTGAATAAAAATTTTATTAATATTCAAAAATTAATCGAATTTTCATGTTTTATAGAGTTCATTTGAGATTGTTAAAGAAGTAATAATAGTAATAATAATATACGCGAAAAAAATGTTATGTATTAATTTCATTATTCTCTCTCTCTCTCTTTTTCTATTTTACTTCACCGTGGTTAGAAGGGTCGATAAAAAAAAATAGGGAGGGAAGAGGGGGAAAAAAGAAGAAAAAAAAATGTTGAAAACCGTTTTGCGGATGAGTTTTAGGTATATCAGTATTACCCCACCTGCCGCGTAAAAATTCTAGCACACTTTTTCTTCCTACTTTTCTTTTTTTTTTTTTTTTTCATTTTTTCTTGTCGACCGAAATCATCGGCCTCAAGCGAATAAGAAGGGGAATAGGAAATCCGGAAAAGGGAAAAGAATCTTTTCGAAAGGGAGGAAGGATACTTTCTCTCTATCTCTTTCTATCTTTTTCTATTTTTTTTTTGTACTTCACGTTCTCTGTCTCTTTCTATCGGACATAGGTTTTCTAGTCGGTGACGCGTGATCCGTACAAGTTTCGTCGTGCCTTCGTGGCGACTAAACCAATCTTAGGCTTAGTTCGTTCAACCGTGAACCCCCTCCCCCCATCCCTTCTCCCTTACGTGCCACTCTATGGTGGTTTTTACGGTGTGATGTGTGGTGTTGGTGTCTCCTTCGTTCGGTAAGGGTCTCGCTCCAATTTGCCGAATGATTTCGAGAACCTATGTCAAATGATCAATCGTCCTCAAACTTATTACACGATATTATTATACTTTGCAACACATATTTTTTCCACTCCTTTTATTCTCTTTTTACATTATTTTCTACTTAAAAATCGATTATTTTTAATCGTAATCAAAACAAAAAAATTTGCTACACCCATTTTGCAGTTTACATGATTTTATTTTCTTAGCTTTTAAATAAACATGTAACAAATTTAAGAAAATAGTATGGGAATGTCATGATGATTATCGATCATGCTTAAATTATCGCAATAATTTATGTTTTCTTTTTTTTACTTTTTAATTTTTAAGCATGTAAATTCGGTAATATAATTTATTTTTTAGTCATATGGCAATTTAACAAATGAAATATTTCAATTTTACTCGAGTTATTTCAATGATTAGCCATAGATTAATTTTTCGTTTGTTTTTTCATTCTTCTTTATATTTTTAAAACAATTATTATTCATCACAGTTAACATTTTAAACTACTCTAAAATGAGATTCATTTTAATCTATATATAAAATTTCATTGAAAAATTTAACTAATGCGATAAATATTATAATAACGTATAATATAAACGAGTAAATAAAGGAAACTAAAGGGATAATAGGAATAAAAGAAATAAGGAAGTACGTTGTAAGGCAAAAACGTCCAACAATTCGTATTATCTGAAGTACACGTTTTAACACGCCCACACTTACTTTGGGGTTTTTGCTTGTAAGCTCTTGAAGTCGACGGACAAGAATTTTTATTGTGATCATCATCGTCCGGTATTAGACAAGGATGGTTATATATATATATACCAACCTGGAAAATAGGGTATTTTAGACAATCGATATAGTCCTAACGTTTTGGACAATGCTTGCAACGTTGCTTCTCTGCATTTATACATGGACATTGTCCAGGTGAAGTGGTCTCCTTAAAGGACCGTCCTGTGTGAAGGTCAAACCCCGGAAGTGATTCTACAATGAAGTACATAATAAACTACTACTCCACCTCTTCTTCCTCTTACTTTTACTTGCTCTTACTTGCTTGCTTGCTTTGATGCATGCATTCTTATTATTTAATTTTTCGATACCGTGTCAAAAGTGCAACGACGACGATGACGACGACGACGTTGTTATAAGACCCCTGAAACATTTTCCCTTTCGTGACGTTATTATTATTTCGTTTAAAAATTTGAACGTTTCGTTTAGTTTAGTTTCGTTAGGATTTGGTTCTCAAGGCGTAGAATTACTTCGCAGGACTGACCCGAATGAGATTATTTTCGCGGTTTATATTCAAATGCGAATAGTAAATAATAGTACGTAGGATAGAAAGAGAAAAGAAGAAAAGAATTTGCGATTCGATGATGATTCCTAGTGAGAGAAT